AGGTGGGGGCGCCGGTGGCAGCTGAGGGCCTTGGGGCTCCGGAAGGACTTCCCGCACTGGCCGCAGCTGTGCGTCCCCTTCAGATTGTGGGCGAGCTGGTGGTAACGGAGGTTGGAGCGCTGACTGAAGCACCTGCCGCAGACGGGGCAGGGGAAGGGGGGCCCAGCCGTGGGCGCCGGGAGCACTGGGGCCCCGCCCAGAGGCCGCTCCCCGCCTCCTGCCGAGGAAGAACAACACAGCAAGACTCACCCTGAGAGCCGGCCCCCGGCCCCCTCCCCCGCTTCCCGCCTCGCTCTGCACCCTTCCACCCTCAGCAGCACCCAGGGTTTTTCTAATTAACAGCAAGTAAAACCTGAACTGGAATCTTTCAACAATATCAGATTAAAATATTAACTGATAACACCTTTGAAACCCAATTCCTCTCTTTTTCCTACCATCATGCCGGCTGGGACACGAGGGAGAGGGGGTGCTGCTGAAGATGAAGCTCAGATAGGAGTGCCAGCCGGGCACTGGCCGCTGGGCCTGGCCGCAGCCTCTCTCACGTCCTCTCACCCCCCAGGAACCAGTCTCCCCGACCCCCTGGGCGTCAAGTCCATCCCTTCCTTTCTTTCTTCCTGCAAGGACTTCAGCAAAGGAGTGCCCCTGACCAGCAGCCACATGCAGTCCCTCAGCCCCTAGAAACTGGAGGCGCTCTGGCCCTGGCGGCTCACAGCCAACTTCCCAAAGCCAAGGCCCCAGAGGGCGCACCTGCAGGGCGGCCTCCCCCCGGCGGGGGGAGGAGGGCTGCTCTCCACCGCTTCACTTCTTGTTCCAGCTCCGCGACCAGATCCGGATTAGTCAGAGCGGGTCTAGCTGCAGAGTGGGGAGGAAGAGGAGCTGAGGTCCCCGGTGCGGCCCCCGCACCCAAAGGGAACAACAGGCTGCTTTTGTGTCCTTGGTTTAAGAACTAGAATCTGGGAAACACAGATGCAGGGGGAGACACTCAAAAGACCAGCCCCTAAGCGCGGGCCCTCGCCCAGCGGCCTGGGAAGCTGGCCGGGTGAGGGGACTGACTGCACGCCGTGGGAGCTGTCAGCACGCCACTGCGCAGGCTCAGTCCTCTCCTCACCCGGAGCTTGTGACCTAGATCTCACGCCCGAGAACCAAGGGCCAGTCGACCTGCCCAGGGAAGCCAAATGCCCAGGGCCGCGGGACCCGCCTCTTACCCACAGACACCAGGGTTTTGAAGGTCTCGGACATGACGTCCTGGTAGAGGGCCCTCTGGCGGGCGTCCAGACAGGCCCACTCCTCCGGGGTGAAGCGCACGGCCACGTCCTCCAAGGTGACTGGCTTCTGGAAGAGAGGGGCTCAGGGAGTCTGGACCCAGAGCAGACCCTGGCCTCGTCCAGAAAGCAAAGGGAAAACTAAAACCACAGAAGCAGGGGAAACAGAAAACTCAGGCACAGAGCCAACAACAGGTACGTACAGACAAGAAAGGAAGGTTGGAGAGGAGGAAGAGAAAGACAGGAGCGAACGGAGGGTTCACACAGAAAAGAACCAGAGGGGAGCAAGCAGAAAGGCTGCGGCTCTGCGGCCCTGGAAGCACTCGTGCGGGCTCGGTGCTGCCGGGGAGGCCCCCGGCTCCTCCTGGGTGCGGCTCAGCTTGAAGCAGCCTGAGGTCACATCTGACCTGCAGACGGGAATGGGCGAAAGCTGCCGGGCCCAGGACGCCCGCCCCAGCTGGTCTCCTCACCTCTGCCCAGGCCTGCCACCAGCATTCCCTCTTCACCGCTGTCCGCGGGGCCTCCTGGTCGGGCTCGGGCGTGCGGCCGGGGCCGGTGCCAGGGAACAGCTTCTGCACTTCCATGGTACCTCTTCCTAGCTTTATCCACACCCGGACTTGCCCTCGGGGCTACCTACCGCCCTGAGGTAGCAGAGCCCAAGGCAGCAGCCTGCAAGGCCCTGGTCGGCTTGGCTTCCTGTCATCGGCTCACGGGCCTTCCTTCGGATCCCACAGCCTCGGCTACAAAGCTCAGGGACTTGGCCCCCTGGGGGCGGCTGCCACTGTCCAGGTATGCCAGGCTGGGGCTGGGAAGGCGCCTGCCCGTTTCCCCTGCGTCTCACCACCGGCTCGTGCCCACCTCTGGGAGCCTGAGGTCAGAGAGAAACAAACACATCAGCAAGAGGGGAGTGAGAAGCAACAGAGAAAAACAAACATATGAGCGAGGCGGGGCTGGGGGCCGTGAGTAGCAACAGCTTCCTTATCAGACCACAGGTTACCCACTCGTGCTCTGTGCCCGGGACCTGCAGCGCAGTCCTGAGGTGACAGCTAACTCACAATTTTAACCCAAAGGCAGAGTGCTAGTCACTCAAGGACACTCCAGGTCCAAGCCGAGACGGTGGCTCCGACGGTGGGATGCCCGGTGCCAGAGCTCTCAGAGCAGCACAGCCTGCCGACAGCCAGAATGGCCGCAGCAGCACCCGCACCATTCTCCTGATTTTGACCCCGTTTCATTAGAAAATGGGAAAAAGGAGACACTCTCTAAGATCCCATCTAGGAGGAAAAGATGGCTCTTTGGGTTTCTAACTTATACAGATCTTTGTTACGAATACAGTGGCTGAGCATCATCCTGTGCACTGAAGGGTCACTGGTTTCATTCCGGCTCAGGGACATACTGGGTTTCAGGCTGGACCCTGGTCGGGCTGTGCATGGAAGACAACCAATTGATGTTCCTCTCTCACATCAATGTTTCTCCCTCTCCCTTTTCTCTCTCTCTTTCTCTCTCTCTGGGCATGTCTTCTGGTGAGGGTTTTTAAAAACGAAGCCCTGCTGGTTTGGTTCAGTGGATAGAGCGTCGGCCTGCAGACTGAAGGGTCCGGGTTTCGATTCCTGTCAAGGGAACATGCCTGGGTTTCGGGCTTGATCCCCAGTAGGGGGCGTGCAGAGGCAGCTGATCAATGATTCTCATCATTGATGTTTCTCTCTCCCTCTCCCTTCCTCTCTGAGATATATATTGAAGAACAGTGATAGCAACCCAACATCAAGCGGGTATCCCGGCTCCCGCTGAGGCAGACCTGGCTGCATTCCCAGGCCTGCTGACAGCAGCACACCCTGTCTCCCCTTGAGATGTGATGAAAAGAATAAAGGCATAAAAATCTGTTACTTCTTTCACTTTTTTGAACAAGTGATGCAAGTGAAAACGCCAGCAAGAAAAGGAGCATTTGACAACAGAAGGGAAGTCAGGAAAGGTGCAGTGCTGGGATCGAACTGGGGTCCCTCCCTCTGTGGCTTCCTTTCCTCCGAGACGCTGGCGTTTCTGCCAGGCGCGTAGCCCTGCCTGTTCTCCTCTCCGGGAAGCTGTGCCAGGGTTGCCAAACAGGCAATACCGACGCCTTAGTCAGGGGCACTGACCTCTTTTCCTTCAGGTCGTCAAATTTAAAAACAGACAACAGCCAACACAAAGCTGTGCAGTGCGAATGAATTAAAATTATATATATATATTGTCAAATCAGAAAAAAAATAAAGGTTTGGTGTGCCACGGAATGAAAAATCGCTGTCTGCTCTGCTGCCGAGCCCACAGGCAGCTTCCCGCAGCATCAGTGACAGCACCGCAAGGCCGGCCTTCCGGCCCAAGGCGACACCCACTCC